GATGTGGGACTCGATCCTGGGACTCCAGGATCATGACCTGAGCCGAAGGCAGTCGCTTAACCAACTGAGCCACCCAGGCGCCCTATAATGCTGCTTTGAGGATATTTTGATGTTTTGCACCACCTTTCTTTTCTACATCTGTTAAGAAACCTTTTTTATATTGTGCTGGGATATCATTTGACCCTAATGCATCATTTGTGTATTAGCTTTCTTCTGTTTTTGGTAGCCCACAGCAGCTAAAGTAGTACTAGTATCAGTATGGTCTCTGAAATCAAGTTGTAGTACTTGATACATGTGATCTTCCAAATGATTGAAAATATGCTCATATTACATGTTTTTAGGTTAACATCAAAATAAAAACACAAAATATATGTTTTCATAGAGGACTTGAGGACCCTTAAGAATATGTCCTTGGTTTGAGAAATACTCATAAATTATAATTTTTCTCATATTTTTCATAATTAATAGTATTGTAGTGATGAGGCATTTGATAACATGGAGAACTGGAAGCCTGAGCATATACTTTATAGGTTTAGGTTTTATTTACTTAAAAAATAAGTTTTTACACTGCCCAGTATGGGAGGGGTCATGCCCAGTTTCTTTTGAAAGAAGCTATTCTTTCCTTAATGCCCAGATTTATCTTTCTCTACAGTTTTTTTTTTTTTAAGATTTTATTTATTTTCGGGAGAGAGTTAACAATGACTTGTTCAGGAGAAAACAAATGTGGAAAAAAATAAGGAGGAACTTAGGTGAAGATTTGAGTAATTTAATACAAAATTCATAGTTGATTTAAATAGGTTTCTATCTGTATATAATAAGTACTCAAGCTGTATTTAGAGAGAAAAGAGCTTCCTTAACACTATGTATACTCTTCAGTCATTGTCCATTTTTGCTGCCTCAAGGTGAAGATGTGGAAAAAATTTTGGATGAATGGAAGGAATATAAAATGGGAGTACCAACCTATGGTGCAATTATTCTTGATGAGACACTTGAAAATGTGAGTGTAATAAAAGATTTTTAGTGCAATGATCAGCTGTTTTCATCTTATTAGTAAAATTTTTGTGTTATTTTGTTCTGAGGTTTTAAAATAGACTTTTCAATTGCTAAAAGGCCAAATTTTGCATATATTGTCTGCATTCTGGGTCTTACTATTTTATACTTGTATGACTTACTGCAAAAAAAAGTCATTTAATTGTTGAAGAAGTACTTTAAAATGGTCAGAATGCCTTTCTCCACACTAGTAGTAGTATAGTCAGACTCTTGGAAGATATTAAAACCAAGTACTGTATAAAATTATTGGTGATGACAGTTACTTGAAGTAAGGAGAAAGACACCTTTGACTTTTAGAAAGGAATGTGGGAAAGGAGGGCAAGTTTTATTTTTACCTCTGCTCGTTTTTATAGGTACTACTGGTTCAGGGGTATCTAGCAAAATCAGGCTGGGGATTTCCAAAAGGAAAAGTAAATAAAGAAGAAGCTCCTCATGATTGTGCTGCTAGAGAGGTGAGTTACTGCAGTTTGAAACCTAGTAACATTCGGTGATTATGCTTTGAGTGTGCTTTTTTAGCCATGGAGATTTATTGTTTGGACCATCTAATCCTTTGTAAAACTTGACTGCATGAAATAACTTATCTTTTATAGTGATTCTTCTGTCCATATCTCTCTATCATTCTTCCCTTAGTTTGTTTCCATTTTCTTTTTTGCCCATTTTTAATTGTTTTCTCTAACTCCTTTCTATTTTGATGATATATTCTCTACCTTTTTTTTTTTTTTTTAAGAATTGGATTTGTAATTGGTAAAACATTTTGGCAATTACAGTGCATGTTTTATGTTTATAGTCTTGGCTTCCAGACAAGTACACAATTTGGGCTTTCCTAAGAAATTTACATTTGTTGCTCAGAACCTTCTCTAGCTTCCTCTTGCCTATAAGATGAAGTGTAATTTTTTTAAGTATTGAAACTCCCTCCCTTATCCCCAGCGCAAAATTTAGCTCTCCCTAAATTTATTTGCCTTTATTCTCAGTCAAGAGAATTTATTCTCTGTCTCTGAATTTGACTGCTTTGTTTCAGCCTCTAAACTTTGCTGATATTATTTCCCTAACTGGAAAGTTCTCTCTTCTTCCTGCCTATTCAAATCCTATCTAGACCCAGCTCAAAATATCTTTTTTCCCTGAAGGATTGCCACCTACTAGCTCTGTATCCAGGACCTGAGTTCATACACTGTTATTAAAATACCACTGGCTATATTACCTATACTCTACCTTTCATCCCTGTGAGTTATTCATTCCATAATTGGAAGTCTGTACTTCCCACTCCTCTTCATCCATTTTGCCCCCTCCCCTGTGGCAACCATCTCCTGTGGCAACCTAACCCCCTCCCCTGTGGCAACCATCAGTTCTCTATTTATGGCTCTGTTTCTGCTTTTTGTTTGTTTTGTTTTTTAGATTCCACATATAAGTGAAATCATATGGTAATGTCTTTCTCTGTCTGACTTATTTCACCTACCATGATACCTTCTAGATCCTTCTCTGTCTGACTTATTTCACCTACCATGATACCTTCTAGATCCTATCCATGTTGTTGCAAATGGCAAGATCTCATTCTTTTTTATGGCTGAGTAATATTCCTGTGTGTGTGTGTGTACACACCATATCTTTATTCAGTGGATGCTGGGGTTGCTTCCATATCTTGGCTGTTGTAAATAGTGCTGTAATAAACATAGGGGTGCATATACCTTTTCAGATTAGTGTTTTTGTATTCTTTGGATAAATACCTAGTAGTGAAATTACTGGATCATGTGGTATTATTATTTTTAATTTTTTAAGGAACCTCCATACTGTTTTGCACAATGGTGGCACCAGTTTGCATTCCCACCAGCAGATGCATTGGGGTTTCTTTCTCCACCTCACCAGCACTGTTATTTCTTGTCTTTTTGATTCTAGCCATTCTGTAGAGTGGATAATTTCTAAAGTCATTCTTTTTTTTTTTTTTTTAATATTTTATTTATTTATTTGAGAGAGAGCATGAAAGGAGAGAGGGTCAGAGGGAGAAGCAGACTCCCCGCCAAGCAGGGAGCCCGATGTGGGACTTGATCCTGGGACTCCAGGATCATGACCTGAGCCGAAGGCAGTCGCTTAACCAACTGAGCCACCCAAGTGCCCAACTAAAGCTCATTCTTAATTAAAATTCCATTTATTTAAAAAATTTAATCAGTGAGCTCTACCCTGTAATAGTCTCAGAACTTTAATAAGTTATTGTCTAGACATTTGCTTGGCATTAATTATGTAGTACCTGTGATACATCGTGGACTGTATTCTTATCAGTTCTTCGTCACTTACCACATTATATCTTATCCTTGAAATTTGAGATGTTGAGCTATAAAGAAGCATAATACAATGGAAAGAAAACTAGTCTAGGAGTTGAAAGATTTTTGTTCCATTATAGTTCTCATATAGGTTAGTCAGTAGCCTAGAGACTTTGGGTAAGTCACTTAATTTCTCTGTGAGATACACATTTGTTAAGAAGAGTTACTTAAAGGGTTCATAACTAGAAGTATCTTTAAAATCTAAGGTGTTAGTTGTTAACTTTGAGATATTTGAGATGGCAATATGGATTTTGTGGCATATCTCATTTGGATCTGTTGCCTTATTTATTTATTTATTTATTTATTTATTAATTATGACTCATTGTTTTCCTGCAGCAGCGTTCACCACTTGGTTTAAGTTTGGATGTAATTATTAGTGAGCGATAGTAATTAAAATTCTTATAAACTACTAGTAGTTATTTAACACAGAAAAACCATTAGTGGTTATTTACTTTGGAGTAGGATTTAAAAAATGATTAAAAGTGCTGCATTTTAAATTTAGTATGCAACAGTTTATCTAAGTGTTTTGAACAGCTTATAGACAAAGCCATTTTATACAGGTAAGTGAAGGTTTGTTTATGCACACTTCTTAAAATTGAAAGCTATCTAGGTAGTAGGTGAGAAATTGACACATATTCTAAGCTTTCCCTTTCCTTTCTGTATATGGTAGGAGATGAAATGGAGCAGTTGTAAAGTCTCCCTTTTATGTCCTCAAACTTTGTGGTTCTCTTGCTCAGAAGGAAAGACAAAATAGAAATCATAGCATCCTACTTAGAGGAATTGATGTGTAGTTCTGTACATAGAGTTAGATTAGTCCTATAGCAATAAGATAATTGTCTGGGTCCAGAAAAGACACTACGTTAACTAGGAAACAGGCTAAATTTGGACTAAATTTGGTGAGATCAGCTGTCTCTGTAATTGGATCTTTTTGAGGGAACTTGGAGGAAATCAAATATTTAAACTTGCAAAACTAAAGAGAAATATCCCATGCCCAAGGGATTATCTACATATACCACTAGAACCTTTCTTCTGACCAGTTTTATACACTATATTATGAAGAGGATGATGCAGAAATAAAGTATTGGTGGAGGGGATGGGAGAAGAGGGGCAGAGGCAGTTAACCTGTGAGCTGAGGCATCCAGTTTTCACTTTAGTTTATCTTATTTGTTTTCTGCTCTGGGATACTAAGGTAAAGGGTTGTCCGATTCATGTGGTGCTAATTTCAGTAATGATTATAGATCACCATAGTTTGTAAGAAAGTAAATAAAATTTATTAGGGCAGGGGGAGTGGGAGAATGGGAGTGTAGATGATAGGATGCTATAGAGAATCTTGTGGGGAGGAATACAGCCATTATGGGAGATGATCATCTCCACTTTATAGGAGAGGAACTGAAACAGCAGTTTGGTAACATACCAAGGTCTCACAGTGAGCAGCAGAACAGGGATACAGAACCCCGGTGGTTGGTTCCGGAGTCTGTGTTCCTGACTACTACAGTATAGGCAGTCAAGGAATACTGTAAATGGATATTTCTAAACACATAGAAGAAAACGGAAGGAATTTGTGGTTTTTAAGTATATGTATTTTCTAATATTTACCTTTCTGATTTGAATCATGATTCCCCCCCCCCATTTTAGAGTTTTTGTCTTGATCTGAGGAGAGCACAGATATTCTTAGGAACCGTATTCTCTTAATTTCAGGGAAAGATTTTTTCCTTTTGATAATAAGAATTAATCCTTCTAACTTTTCTGATCTAAGAAATACCCTCTTTTAGCTGATAAAGGAACTTGTCAGAAGAAAACTTGTCTTTAATTTTTGTACATTTTGGGATGAGAATTTGACTTTTATATCTGATTTTTAGATGATTACCTCTGTTATAAAGAGAGAAAAGTTTAGGATTAAAGTTGAGCATTGCTTTATTAGTTCAGTCAGGCAGACATAATGAAATACCACAGTCTGAGTGGCTTAAACAACAGAAATTTATCCCTCCCAGTTCTAGAGGCTGAGAAGTCCCAAGATCAAGGTGCCTGCTGATAAGGTTCCTGGTGAGGGCTCTCATCCTGGCCTGCAGGGACTGCTTTCTCACTGTGTGCTTCTGTGGTCTTTCCTGGGTGCCTTTGTGAGTGCAGAGAGTGTGCCATGTCTCTTCCTCTTCATATAAAGGCATGAGCCCTATTGGATTAGGCCTCCAACCTTATGATCTCATTTTACCTTTATCACCTCCTCACAGGCCCTCTCTCCAAATACAGTCGCATTGAGTGTTAGGCCTTCAACATGAGTTTTGGTGAGACAAAGTTTAGTTCATAGCAGTTGCCATTTTGAGTAATGAAAAGTATTCAACTAGCAGTCCTAGACTTGTAGTGTGTCCTTCTGCCACTTGGTGGTACTGCAGTACTGTTTGGTGGTGGTAGGGGTGGGACGTACCATCTATGTTAAATTTTAGTTTAAAACCAGATTGGGATATTACCACAAACTTCTCTGAAAAAAACAACGTTCCTTTTAATTTTCACTTGTATTAACCTGTAAGAAGGAGTTCTGTCCTAATTTTTTTTAGCTGCCATTAGTTAGACTTAGGCTGATGCCTTCAACACTTTTTCTTGGACTTTTGTTATGCAGTTCTATCATGGGTGCTTACCGTTCTTTTAAGTTGCTAATGACATACTAATTTGGTTTATTATAGTTATGTTACTGTTATTATTTCATTACATGTGGCTGTCCAGGAGTGTTTTGTTATAGCAGAAGCTGACCGATCTTTTAAGGGCTGTGTATGTGGGCTGAACTGAAAGAAGCAGTGGCAGCCTTCTCAGGGACAAGGTATGAATAATTGTCAATAGAAAGCTTAGTGCCGTCTTCCTTAGTAGTTGCCAATCCTTAACCTTTCGGTTCACCTTTGTTAATTGGGTTCTGATTACTTTTATTCAGTGAAGTAGATTTAGGACAAAGATGTGAAAAATGTTTTCTAGATACTCTTAAAAGGATGTGTTAGGATAACCTCAGTATATTTTTATTGTTAGTGGTGGTGAAACACCAGTTGTTGCACAAGCAGATGATACTTGGCAGGTCACTTGTTTTCAGGATTTATTTTGTTGTTATTGAGCAAAACAATATATTTTATTGTAATGAAACTGACTTGATTATGCAT